TAAGGATTTAAGTTCAATTTCTTCCTAATGTCAAATGAGTGCTATTAAAGTTCCTGCAGAAACCTTCAGGTAAGAAACTTGAAAACTTCATGATAAACAATATATAAAGCAATTAAGATCTTTACCATATGTATGAATTTGTATAATTTCATTTTGAGTAGGGATAAACTTTTGCTCCTGATAAAAGCCTGGAATTTCATCTGGTTCCTCAAAGCATCGTGTGTGTGTCTTGCAGTAGCATGGAAAAGGTTTTGTTTAAAGATTCTGGGATTGCAAGTTGCTTGCCTTTTCTGAATAAAGGATGTACCAAACCTAACCATCTTTAAGACCTTCATCCATAGAAACCACTATTCAGGAGGATGCAGTGGGCTGGAGGGCATGGGAGAGAATAGGAGCGGGAAGCCGGGGCCGACTTCTGGTCACTACCTCCTAATACCTTTCACTTCAAGTAGAAATGTACTCAAGTCCTATTTATAAACAGAAATTCTTCCTGCCTCTACAGGAAACCCTACAGAACATCACCTGGCATTGCCACTTACACTTAGGTTGGAGCCTCAGGTGACTGCGCCTGTGCTAGCAGTGCATGGTTTTTTTGGCTCCTGGTCAGGCACCTATGCTTTCTGTCATTGTTGCTTGAAGAAGACTGGAGTTGCTCTGAGAATTGTTTGGTTTTGGAGGATTACATTTGACTTCTATTTTTATTATTTTGGATCACCATTCTTCCTGTCCTTTCTTGCCTCCCTACCTCCCAAACATGTATAATAACTATACAGAGACTGCCACAAACTTGTTCATAGTTTTTGGATCAAAGAGCATGAGGAGATGGGAAATCATCAAAAAGCAAGACTCCTACTCTCCTTTGCTTTGTAAATTCAAGAGGCGGCGAGGGGAGTGGTAGTTAAAATGTTGACAAACTTTAAGCACCCTCAGAACTTTTGCCAATGAGCAGGAAAATAAAAAAATTAAATAATTAAACGATATATACTGTATATTTGAACTTATTTTCTATTTTCTTCTAAATTAAACACAAATCATTACAAGGTTGTTAACTTTTGGTTTGTGTCATTGTTTCACATTGAAAGTGTTTTTTTAGTTCTCTTTTAAAATAATTTGAGAGGTTTTTTCTTCCCAGATTTTATACTTCAAAATAATTTTGTGGTTATTGAGGGAACTGTATGATAGAGCAGTAAATTGTGAGTACTAAGTGTGCGCTCATTAACCTCTACAAAGGTTCACCTCATATTTCTAGTTCTCACTAGTGTAAAGTTAATTTGTTTCTTCATTAGATGGAACATAACAAATAAGAATATTTATATTGATATATGGTGAAAACAGGGATGATTTTCACAAGCGATTGTTATAATCTTTAAGTAACTTGTGTATAAAAGTATGTAAGATACATCCTTCAGCAGGCATTTTATATTCTTTATATTGTGTAAGGAGTTTTAAAGTATTTATCTATTTTTACATGTATATACTTTAAATATATAAAATAAATCTGTAAAAATCATATTTATTCATTAAAAATTTTTTTAAAAAGTTTCTCTGTAGAAAATAATCAACTTTGGTAAGGTAAATACCATGCTGGCTCTCTTTGTGCGCAATTAAGCAGAATTCATCTTTTATCATATTGCTATGATAAAAATATTTGAGTATGCTAGCTTCTTTTCAAATATGTTAGTTTTTTCTCTGAATTCACCAGATTTCACAAATATATCCATCATATTTTTAGCTATAATATCTTTAAAATTTTTCTGTCAAAGGTGAATTAGCTTTTCAGTGACTTTAAGATTCACATATTAAAATCACAAGTTCAGATCTTCATTTTTTTAAAACCTCTTTTTTTAACAGTCTCTTTAAATCTTTGCCAGTATAAATTCTTCATTTAGTTTTTTATTAAATTCAAAACACACAAAGCCATGAAAAATTTAACCTCAATAGTTTTAGAAATTTTTTTACAGTGGTCATATTTTTAGTTGTTTTTTTTCTTTTCTTTCTTTTTTTTTTTTTTTTTTTTTTGAGTCAGAGTCTCACTCTGTAGCCCAGACTGGAGTGTAGGGACATGATCATGACTACCACAGCCTCAACCTGATGGGCTTAAGAGATCATTCCACCTCAGTCTCCTGAGTAGTTGGAACAACAGATAGGCACCACCATCACTGGCTAATTTTTTGACTTATTGTAGAGACAGGTCTCACCAAGTTTCCCAGGCTGGTCTTGAACCCCTAGGCTCAGGCAATCCTCTTGCCTCCACCTCCCAAAGTGCTGAGAGGCACCACACTCAGCTATATTTTTGAGATTTTTTTTTTAAAATTAAAACTTATTTGTGGCATGATACTGGTCATCTTTGTGCACACTCATCACATATGCCCAGGAAATTCTGTGCTTCAGGATGAGCTATCAAATATCACATCTCTCACAAAGAGTTTTCCACCCTCCATCCTCCTTCCTCTCCTCCTAAAAGGCTGGAAGCAATCTCTACAAAACTCTGAAAACACCTTACTTGTGTCATTTCATCTGAAAGCACTTATCAGTTTCTCTAGGCAGAAGAAGGAGAAGGGATTACATGAGAAAGATAATATATTTTAAAAATTCTTTTACTCCAGGCAATATGCTTGTTGAATAATAAATATAATTCTATTTGTTTAAATATATATTTTTTCTTATCCATTGTATATATTATTACATAATTATTTATGGAGTTTATTATATAGTTGTTTATTTTATATATTAACAAATATTATTTTTATTGTATTACTCACAAAAGTCTCATAGGTTGTATTTAATTTCCACTTTGCCAATGAGAAAATTGAGTTTAATAAACATTAAGCAACATGATGTTAAGTTAGAATTCTTTGGTCTAATTGATTCTAAAAATCTAAATTATTTTTATAATCTTCTTCTAATTGTAATATGCTATTTTAAGTTTTGTAACAGTTATGTACATACTTTTCTTATTTTCCACTATGCTTTGCATAGTATATACCCAATAAACACATAAAAACTGAACAAAAGACTATAGTTTAATTGTCTAAAACTGTAATTGGTTCCTTTCTAGTAAATACAATTATAATAGTGAATGATGACCAGTTCTTCATTCTAATGGATCATGACAATGATTTGAATGTCTCCTGTCAAGTAACTATGGACCAGGCTGACACCAGCAAGCAGACATTTTGTACACACATAAAATCTGCAAAAAGCTTTGAAATGAAATTCATTCACAGGAATTGTATGCGCACTGTGCTTTTGAACAGTACTTTGTAAAAGTAACTTTTATTTCAAAAAAATGTTTTACAGCAGATCATCTTTGGTGATACATGAGCTCAGATTAGACAATTTGAAGATATTTCTAAAAATATAGAAAGTCTAATTTCAGGAGATTTATTGACACAAAAAATACTCTCTGCTTAGTCACAGACACATGCATACAAACGCACAATTTTCATAGAGATCATTTCGCCTGATTACTTAATACAATTTTATCCATGTGTGTTACAATTTTATGCTATGTTAGCATGTTTTGGGCAGTCTGTGGTTCCTATAGACCTCTTACAGCTCATGAAAGAACATGATATACTCTGATGGGGCTATCTATCCTATGGGTTAATACAGTAGGCTCTGGAAGCCAGAAGTCCTTAAGACTGCAACCACCAGTTTCTTTCTTATTTAGCTGTATAAACTTGGCAAGTTACTTTAAGTCTTCAGGTAGTGGTTCTTTGATGTGAGAATAATTATGGCACCTACCTAATTAGATCTTTTAAAAACGACAAATACCCCCTCCCCTCCTCTTTCTCTCTTTCTTTAATTTCCAAATAAACTGTATTTTCTAATCTTAAAAAAATTACAAGTACATGAAATTGACATATGTAAAACAATGTGCACAATTTCTTTCTTTCTTTCTCTCTCTCTCTCTCTCTCTCTCTTTCTTTCTTTCTTTTTTGGAATTTAACTTTTTATTTCCTAGTGTCTCATTTCAATAGATGCAGTTACCCACTCTCTACAGTTTAGAGAGATAAACTATATCTTGAAAATAGTATCTCCTCCCATGGACACACACACTTTAGGTTTACGAAAAAAAAAATATACTGCTTCTTTTAATTTTCCTTTAAGAAGAGCCCTGAAATGAAAAAAGAGCAAGTATAATTAGGAGTGAAAAAAATGACTCACATATACTCATTAACACTTTGCACAATTTCTGACATTTAGCAAGGACTCAATAAATGCTAGTAATGATTAAAGACTGAGTCTAGATATAAAGCAGTTGTTATTTGAAAGCAGGCTAGCTAGCTTTTGAATAACACTCCTGGTGGAAGTATGCTTTATTTATTTATTCTCTTTAAATAGTCCCTATTCACTAGAAACACTACCATAGCTCTTGCATATATTACTTGTACATATTTATTCATTTACTTGTAATATATTCTTAGTGATAAAATATTTTTCTAAAATATGATTAAAGTAATAATAAATATTGTACTTACTATATGTGTTTATACTTCAGATTTTAATAAGTATTCTTTGAAATAATTTTTTATCTATTCATAACTATTATAATTTTGTTTAATTGTTACTCAGTATGAATGTGTTAAATACTGAAGTTATCCTTACTTTTCTGAGTGTCGTCCTCTCTGAGGTTTTAGAACCTAGGCTTGAATGTAAAGTTAAGATATACAGTGGCTTCATGCAATTTAATGCTAAAAATTTAATAATTATCAGATAATAAAAAGGTTGAAAGATCAAGTTCAATAAAAGGATCAGAGAACAAGAAGTATAACCGAAGCTAAAGTAACAGGTTGAGCGGTAAGACATATTACCCCTAAAACTGTAATTACCATAAAATATAGAGCTACTTTGACTAATGTCATTTGGTAGAGAAAAAGCACTTAAGGAAATCAGTGGTTTGCATTAAAACTAAGAAATATTTTTGGCTTTCCTTTTGTGCTTAAAGGCAGAGAAATCCGCTTCTTCTCATCAGATCTTCTGTCTCAAGCCACATGATGTTGAACAACATTCTGCTGTTGTCCCTACAGATAAGTCTCTTAGGAACTGTTTTTGGTGAGAATGTTCTGATTTGGCCAATGGAAGGTAGTCACTGGCTAAATGTTAAGATAATTATAGATGAGCTGATTAAAAAAGAGCATAATGTGACTGTCCTTGTTGCCTCTGGCGCATTATTCATCACACCAACCGCTAATCCATCTCTGATAGTTGAAGTATATACAGTCCCCTTTGGCAAAGAAAGAGTTGAAGGAGTAATCAAAGACTTTGTTTTGACATGGTTGGAAAATAGACCATCTCCTTCAACCATTTGGAGGTTCTATCATGAGATAGCCAAAGTCACCAAGGAATTCCACAAGGTATCCATGGAGATCTGTGATGGTGTTCTTAAAAACCAAAAGCTGATGGAAAAGCTGAAGAAAAGCAACTTTTCGCTCTTGTTATCAGATCCAGTATTTCCTTGTGGTGATATAATAGCTTTAAAACTGGGAATTCCATTTATGTACACTTTGAGGTTTTCTCCAGCCTCAACAGTGGAAAAGCACTGTGGGAAGGTCCCATACCCTCCTTCCTATGTCCCTGCTGTTTTATCAGAACTCACCGACCAGATGTCTTTTGCTGACAGAATAAGAAATTTTATCTCCTACCGCCTACAAGACTACATGTTTGAAACTCTTTGGAACTCATGGGATTCCTACTATAGTAAAGCTTTAGGTATGTAACAATTTTTGCTGTTTTATTTGAATGTGAACAAACAGAACTTTGAATTACCTCTTCTTTAATTGCCTGTGTCTACTATTTGTAAACTCTGTATAGTAGGAATGTATAGTACTCTGTACTACATATTACTATCACTTGATAGCAAAAAGGAAGATAAAAGACATTGCCTACGGTGTGCTGTTTTCTCATTTTAGGGACTTGAAGATACTAAGTTCTTTTTTGGATAAAATATAGTGACAAATATCTTAGTTTAAAAATAGGTCTGGATTTCATGTAGATATTACATTGAAAATAGAAATTGCTTAGAAAATACAGTGGTGTATGAAGAAATCTGAATAAGATTAAAGTTTCTACAAACCTATCGTTATATAGGCATTTGTGTGCGTATGTTTAAGAACATACATATGTGAGAATAATCTCAAATCATAGCCTAATAAATAAAGGCTTATCACCTAATAAATATAGTCTTTGTCACTTTAATTTTAAAGTGTGAATTTAAGAAAAAACATTCATCAGAATAATTTATCTGTGTTAAGTTTATTTGATTTGCTTAAATGTGATATAGTGCTTACATGATGGATGGAAATAGAATCAATGTTTATTAGCATCAAAAGTCTGATTGTTTTAGATACATTTGGACATACGTGGTTGCTGGGGTGTTGCTTGATACTGATTATATTGATATGTTTATACACTTGTTAGTCTAAACATCAAACAGGCCTTGTCCATTTTTTAACATTTTTGAATTTTATTGTTTATTCTTCATCAATTTTAGATGTTCTACTTTTTAGTAGGCACTCTCTTAGAAGGGAGGTTACCATAATAACTAAAACAAAGTCCCTGGGTTCAAAAATTTCACAGATGAGCAGAGAAATCAGACATGAAAAGGGATATTTACAATGTGAATTATGTGGATAATTAAAATATGTACAAAAATACAAAGACAGTGTAGAGGAGCTAGGCATGATGTGACAGGGAGAGAGTGGTAATCTGAAGTACCTCATAGATAAGGTGATGCATAAGGACAATTTTAAACACTGATTATGAGTTTTACTGCAAAGTAAATATGGGGGAAGGAGATAGTGTACCCCACGGCTGAACACTTGAAATAGCACAGATGTGCTGGGTATTACTGATAATTTATTATTTATGAAGGTCAATGTGTAAGGTCAAGAAGCATGGGAAAAAAATTCTGGTGATGTCAGGATTGTTAAAAATAAATAATTATTTCAGTGAATATTTTCAAAGTCTCTTGGATGTCACACTAGGAAATTCAGTTTTATTAAATAAGCAACTGGGAATTGTTTAAAGAGTTGTGTATGTATAACCAGAGTGGCATTTTATATAAAACATCTAGACATAAATATTATATATTCAATACCATGGAGAGAGGCTAAGGTATTAGCCCAGGAAAGATGCTGTAAGGGCGTGTCCTGAAGCAGTGGCTGTTAAAGGAAAATAATACAGGATGAGACTAGGTAGTCACACAAATGGGAAAGCAGGCTTTTGATATAAAATTTCCACATACCAATGTGTGACCATAGAAAAGTAATTCAGTTTCCTTTCACCTACACTTTATTGTCTCATCTCTTTAGGGCCTTTGAAAGGACTAACTCTGTGCATGAAAAGATTTTAGAACAGTGTCCGGGAGATAATTAACCATTCAATTAGTGTTAACTTTTTATCAGATGAGATTAATGGGAGCTGATGGTTGATTAATGAGGACTGTTAAGAGGGATGAGGAATAGACTAAAATGGCTTTGAAGTCTGAGATTTCTAGCTTCAGTAAGCAATAAATGCAAAGTCAACCAAGATAATAAACATGGGAGAGGAAAAATCTGGGAGTGGAAATAATGCCTTCAATTTTAGATGTGTTGTATACGTGGTACTTTTGGGATGATCTAGTGAAATCTAGTAAAGCAACTGTATATACAGGATGAGGTCTCAGAGGAAATACCATAAATCAGAGACTTAAGGTCATTTACATGAGGATGATACATATATAATTTCATCTCTTTGATGGTAACTTCATTTCCATGACTGCTGCATTTTTATTACATGCAAGTAGCTTGCTATTTTTCTACTTTCATGCATATATTATTGGAATTGTCAACAATCAAAAGATTTAAACTAAAGCAATGTACTTACATGTGGCAAAGATGACTATCTTCCCAGGCAGCTAAAATTATTTCATAATACATAATTACAGCTGATACTTTGTGCATAGTCATAAATATTATATATTCAATATTTTATTTTGCTTTTATGCTAAATCTTACAAATACAGACCCAGATCCAATGATAATCAGATGGAGATCGACTTTTTCTCACTTTTGATAAGTTGTACTTCCCTGATGGTTATATTTTTTTATTGATGTATGACAGTTTTACATATTATGAGAATAAATGTGATATTTTGATAATTCATATAATGTATAAAGATCAAATGAGAGTAGTTGAAATCTATCACCTTAAGTAGTTATTTTGTCTGATGCTAGGAGCATTCATATTATTCTCTTTCAGTTACTTTGAAATGTGCAATAGGTTATTGTTGACTATAGTCACCCTACTAGTCTATCAAACAGGAGGTCTTATTTCTTCTAACTGTACATTTGTACCCATTAATCACCTTTCGTCATACTCCCCACTCTTCTCAGTTGCTATTAAGTTTTGAGGTTTTAACTTCTCAACATTATCATCAACAAATTAATTTTTGTACCTTCACTTATTTTAACAAAATAATAAAGCCAAGATTCAAAGACTATTTAAAGACTTGAACATTGCTATACACATACTGCATAGATTGTAATGTTACTTGTTAAGTTGAACTTGTAAAGTTTAGACATGCTTACTAACTAATGAATTAAAATCCTAAATTTTATTAAAAATAATTTAAAGATGACAAAGTGCAATGTGCAAAAGAGTGAGTTATATGAAAGCTGGCAAGAATAAATTTCCTGTGTAGGGATAGCTATTAACATACTGGTTTCTTTTCCACAAACTCTGTTTAAAATAATTGCAAAGGTGATTTGTGTCAATCAAAATATTCACAAGTTAGTGTGTGGACTAAGGTGTGAGGTACTAAACGTAGATGGGTATGACCTAAAGTTGATGAGCCAATTATAGCTAACCCTGATAGCAAAAGTCATAATCTCCTCTGGAAGTGTTAACTAGTTGACCCCAAATTCAGAAAAAGATGTTTATCTTTTGGAATATGAAAGAATGTCTAGTTCTGTCATTCGGAGAAAACAAGCACAGCTACAAGTATAGATAACCAGTGGATGTCCTATGAAGATAGATGAGGATGGGTAACATCATAGGGCTAAAAGTAGATCTTAATAAAAATGAAGGGAATGGACAGAAAACCCAGAAAATTTGTGAAGCAATGAAGCTGTCAAGATTGCAAAAACTTCTTCATGCTTTCATGCATGTGGCAAATTAACAATGACATCTGAATATGTGCAGCATCTCAGTTTATATAAGAACCAAACTTCCACGGGCAGTTCTTTGGTCACGATATATGTTAATGTTTTTATCCTATCACTTCTGTTTCTATCAACTACTCATTGTCAGTTTTGAAATTCAATTCTCATGATTATGATGCTCCTTATTTGTATTTGTGAGGTTATCTGCAAGTTTATCTTCCCCAGCCTGGCAGTGTCAGAATCACATGTTCCATTGTATTTTGCTGTCAGTTAATGCTTTTATTAAAGGCACATTGTTCTCCCAGTGTTAAGACGAGACTAATCTTTCTTAACAATTTGTTTATGGGCATGTGGTGAAGATTTCTAAAATATTCTCACCCTCTGATCTCAGTATATCATGTTTCTAATCAAATTATACTCTTCTGACTTAGAATAACTATTTAAGTTTGTTTTTACTAAAACACAATATTTTATCAGTGTCAGGGACATCAACACGAACAGGGATATTCAAAAGACAAGGTAAGAAATAAAAGTATGACATGATAGAATATCTCAATTTTATGTAGATGTAGAATAATACATGTAAATGATAAATGGAACTGACTTTTTAAAATTTGTTATTTAAATTGATCTACTTTGGTGTAAAATAATCAAAGTCGTTGCAAGAAATCCATATCCATTCACACCTCAAATTGTCACACTGAGTAAATAAGTAGAACAACTCCCTAAGATTACTTTCCTACAATGCAATGCAATTAAACACTCAGGATGAATTTTTAATCTCTGTTAATTGCTAGGAATTGGATATTACAATCTCTGAATCACCTGTCTTTCAGGTCATGGGTATTTAGCTCAAACTCATAGATAATCATAACAGTAATATGTATTAATCTTTTTCTATGCACTGAACGCTGTCATATGTGTTGTATATAAATATCTCTTAATCTTTGCAAAGAACTTGATGCATTTTAATGCAAGGAAATAAACTATAGTCACAGATGAAAATAGAGACTTGGAAACCTCAAGCATGTTAAATTTATATAGCTACTAGTTTGAGAAAGGTAGCATTCAAACTAAAGTCTTTCTCACACCAAAGCTTCATATTTCCTAGTTCTAATACATTTTTTGTCTTCTTTTTAAATTTCAGATGGAAATCTATTAATTATTCAGAATATTTTAGGTTAAAAACTTTTTGAATGCTTTTCTTTTTTCAATGTATTTAGCTTTTGAAACCTATTTCTTGCCTATTTTTGATTTGCTGAATAGAATTTAATTAGGCCATGTTAATTACTTAGGTGACTTATTATTCCTTAAGGTATAGGTCTCCATGTCACTCTGTTGTCTGGGATGGATTGTCTGCAATGTCTTTCTGTCTCTAAGAGAGCTTTATAAGTAACTTTCAACTGAAATTAAGAAAAGGTATATGCAGAATTCAAATATGTTTGCTTGAAATTGAATCAGGTAAATATTTTTCATTATAATTTAAAAACCACAAAATTTTGGGCTTATTTTAGGAGACACCAAAGTAACATTTATATGACAGCAAAAAATAGTTATAGTCCATAAACTTCATATTGTTAACAGCAGGGTTTTAGTCTTTCCTATAAAACAAGCATATTTTTGGGAATAACATTTATATTTTACATTCATATATAATATATAAAAATCTATAATACTATTATATATGAATAGCTAGGTGAATAATCTTTAAGAAGTAATGCCATCTATAATAACAGTAGACTTTGTCGAAAATATATTAAATTAAATAGTAAAACCATTAGATGTTCAAAAATAATTATTATAACATCCAGTCTTTGCATGAACTAGCTGCTCACTGAGCATGAGAAATTCATGTGAAATAAAGTGCTAGAAATGAAACACGCTTAAGTGTATATAGATACGTAGTGTATGTTATCAGTAGTAATTATAAAGGAGAAAAAAAATGTTTGGATCCTTTTCCTAAAGTTAATACATTTCTACTTTAAGCTTCCTTTTCTTTATTTTTTCTCTTTTAAATTAATCTTTTCTTTGATTTCCTCCTTCCTTCCTTTCTGTCTTCCTCTTTTTTAAACATTTAAGTTAATCTTGATTGGTTAGATCTTTCAAAAACCCTCTGGTAGCATTGCCTTTTCTACAGTGACCCATAAACTGCAATGACCCATAAACTTACAAACATTGAAATTGTAATTGGCTAAGAGACATTAAAAATTCCTAGAAATAACAATCACTGTCTTTTTTGCTTCCACTTGTGAAAAGCTATTAGAATGAAAGAAAATGGAGGTTACTGTTTTTATGCGTATAATCTTGGGTTTTATATGGGTATCTGAAAGGGAACCCTAAAAAACCAGAATTATTTTTCGGAGTGCAGGCTTTTTGCAGTACAGGCTTCTCCTGCTAGGTAAGTGTCCTAGGTACCCATTGACATTAGTGTTATCAGCTAGCATTGTTGTGAGAAGCTGTGTTTGACTTCAGGGATTTTTTTTTTTTTTTTTGAGATTCTTTCAACATGTTTGCCTATTTCACGATGGGTAATTTATGAGTGCACCTGCCCCACGGTGCTGAGTGTTTGGCAGTTTTTGACCAAACATGGCATGAGTCCCATGCCCCACCCTCATTATTCACTCCATCAAGCCCTGAGCAACATTTTTTTGTTTCCCAGGAAGAAAAAGTTCTCAAAGAGAAATGTTTTGCCAGTGTGGAAGAGGTTAAACAAAAAATGGCAGAACCACTAAAAGGCAAAAAAATTGACCAGTTCAAAAAATGTTTTTGAGCGGTGGGAAAAGCTGCTCAGTGCCTCAAATGGAGAGTACTTTGAAGGTGACTGAAGTTTAAGCATGGAAGAATAAATACACAATTTTTAATAAATAAATTTGTTTCTTTTGGGTTCTTCTTCATATTTCTTAAAGTAAATCATTTGTGAACTTTGATACCTTATACATTGTTAATAACAAATCATTTGTGATGTGCCTCTAGGACTTAGTATGACTAACTTGCTGAGAAATTCCCAGTGTTTGGGAAATTCTGTACCAAAGTCTAGGTGTCCCAGTCTGCCACTGTAAGGAAGGGAGGAGAGAAAGATGGTTAAATCAACGAGATCTTATCATTTTAAAAGTAAGATCCTCTCCCCACACAATCAGATACAGCTGTCATTTATTGAGCATAGATAGGCTTCTAAATAATTTACATGCATTATGTGCATTATTTAACTCAGTTCTTACAACTGTAGGAAATAGGTGACATTTTTCTTACCATTTCGTAAATGAGAATGCTGAGTAACTTGCCTGAGGTTACAGTTTAGAAAGTGGTGAATCATTTTATATCAGACCTTGGGTTAAAAAGAAAGCGCTAGAAGATATTTAGTTTCTATATAACAAACCAAAAAAAAAAAAAAGGAAAGAAAATACAGCTAAATTTAAGCTTTCAAAGAATTAAGTAAATGCCAGTCCAGAAACTCAAATAAGACTGGGTGTGGTGGCTCACACCTATAACCTCAACACTTTGGGAGGTCAAGGCAGGAGACTCTCTTAAGCTCAGGTGTTTGAGACCAGTCTGGGCAACATGGGAAGACCCAATCTCTACAAAAAGTCAAAAAATATTTGGGTGTGTTGGTATGTGCCTATAATTTCAGCTACTCAGGAGGCTGAGGCTGAAGGACTGCCTGAGCCCAGAAGGTTGAGGCTGCAGTGAGCTGTGATTATGTGACTATACTCCAGCCCAGGTGACAGAGTGACACCCCAACTAGAAAGAAAGAAAGAAAAAGAAAGAAAGAAAAAAGAAAGAAAGAAAGAAAGAAAGAAAGAAAAAGAAAGAAAGAAAAAGAAAGAAAAACAAGTTCAAATAAAACTGAACACTAACGTGTGGCTAAAATTTTTAGGTTACTAAAGAGTCAATCACTCATGCTCCTGAGATAGTATGGAGACTAGTTTCCAGGCTTTTGTGAATTTGTAGAGACAAGAAGCAGCAGAGCTAAATCCTACTCAGGAAGAGGAGAACTTCAGGCAAGGGCAAGTCTCAGGGGAAAGCTGATAAGGAAGAACATCTATACAAAAATGTTGTTTTAAGGACTATCAACTCAAACTTATAGCAATACATACATTTAATGGTTCTTCACTAAATTATTCTGCCTATATTACTTAAGAGTGGTAAACTGACTCTTTTAAATCTATTTTATCCTCGAATTCCAGGTAATTTAGGGGTACCTACATGTATTTGAGACTTGAGGATATATGAATATTTTGATAATCTTTTAAGTGCTATCATTGCTATTATTCATCAGCAATCCCTAATTATTATACTTTACTTATGTGTAACTCAATAATTGAATAAATCTAATATAGATAGACTTTGGCTCATGTCTTATATAATATTGTGCTTTATTTTATTTTATTGGAAGATCATGACAGCAAAAGATTTCTTTATGAAGATATTATTTAAATTTTTAAAACTTGGTTTACTTAATGGACATCAAAATTAGGGCATTCATATTTTTCTCTGGCTGTTTTGTGTCAAAATCTAGTCAATCTTAAAGTACTTCCACTATATCCAAATTGGGGCTTATTCTTGAAAGGAAACAAATATAATAATCCTAAAAGCATCACTTCTCTCTTCCCTTTCTCCTTCTCGTTCTCTGTCTTTATTGTTCTTTTGTTACTCAAGGACCTGTAATCACACAATTCAAGGATAACTGAGTACAAAGAGAAAACTTATTTAATTTCTATTCTTAATTTTTTATTTATATTTTATTCTCAATAGAATCTATATAAAACAGTAACCTATAACTGAATGTATGCATCACATTACATATTATTTTATTGATAAAAAGCCTACCTAAATATGCTTTAAAGTTTTTTTTTTTCATCTTAAAAGATTCACAATAAGATGGTTTCCATAGTGAATATCACCATGGCTAATAAGTTCTCTTTTAATGACAGCCTATAATAATTATAAAATAGCATTGCTAAATAATTGCTATTGTTATGTTTGGTATTCACCAAGAATTGCAACTGATATCACTATGTCTATGTCTAGCTAGTCATTTTGAAGCTGACTCACTGATTTACTGATCAATCTATAGGTATACTTATTTAACTGTTACAATTGTTATACCCTTGCTCTGAACCAAGCAGTTTGCAAAGTGGCTTTACAGCTATTATTGTTAGCCTATGAAGTAATATAACAAATTAATGTCATTATCTCTTATGTACCTTTGAGAAACTGAGGATGAGAGGATCTAGGTAATTCTCCAAGGTCACACATCTTATAATGAGACAGTTTTTGAATCTGGGGCTATTGAATTTCAGTGTCCACCTAACAACCTACTATATAGTTCTGAATAAAAAGGCCAATATTTCCTCAGGTTGCCAGACTCTATCTTCTTGATTTGTGTATGAAGGCGTCATGTGGAAGAAATTAAACAATTTCTTGTAACAAGAGGGTAGAAGACAATGACCAATTTGTTTTATCAGAGCAAAAAAATCCTTTATCAAATATAGCATTTACTCTATAACCCAATTATAAAACAACTTGAAATATTTGAGCACACTCCTTCTGAGTGAAGGTTGTTTGTAAATTTTTCTTCCTAAATATCAGCCATGAGAAAGTGATAATTCTGATTTTATTACTGTTTCATATGCTTTTGCATGCTATACCAAAGACATATTTTATAATAAATAGTTATTATCACAGAATATACAAATACTAGGCTATAAACCTCCCTGCTTCTTTAAAAACAAAAATAGGAGCAGATTTTGTCATTGGAAGAATCATATTAATGCATATAATAATTTGAATTATATTGTTTTCCTTTTAATCTGTAGATTGATGACCTATAACTGAATGTGACCATCACATTCAATATTATTTTATTTGGAAAAAAACGACCTAACTATGCTTTGAAGTCATTTTTTATCTTAAAGGATGTATAGTAGAATGGTTTCCATAGCGAATACCACCATGCCTAAGAAGTTTCTCCAGATGCTGGTTTTTAATTTGACTCTGACTGAAATTGTTCTAAGTGGAAATGTGCTGATTTGGCCTACAGATGGTAGCCATTGGTTAAATATTAAGATGATTCTAGAAGAGTTGGCTCAAAGAAATCACAATGTGACTGTACTGGCTTCATCGGCAACTCTATTCATCAATTCCAATCCCGATTCTCCTGTGAATTTTGAAGTGATACCTGTTTCCTACAAGAAGAGCAATATAGATTCCTTAATTGAACATATGATAATGCTTTGGATTGACCACAGACCAACTCCTCTCACACTATGGGCTTTCTACAAAGAACTAGAAAAACTCTTAGACACTTTCTTTAAAATTAATATACAAATCTGTGATGGTGTGTTAAACAACCCCATGTTAATGGCAAGACTTCAAAAAGGTGGTTTTGATGTGTTGGTAGCAGACCCAGTAACAATCTGTGGTGACCTAGTTGCTCTTAAATTAGGAATTCCATTTATGTATACTTTGAGGTTCTCTCCAGCCTCAGCAGTGGCGAGACACTGTGGGAAGATCCCAACACCAGTCTCCTACGTACCTGCAGCCTTGTCAGAGCTCACTGACCAGATGACCTTTGGGGAAAGGGTTAAAAATATCATATCTTATCCTCTGCAAGACTATATATTTCAATCCTACTGGGGAGAATGGAATTCATACTACAGCAAAATTTTAGGTAAGTCTTTACAATTTTCTAGTATGACTTCAGATACTCTTAAAATTCCTTTTGGTCCTACAGGAAAAGTTTTCCAATCCACTACATATGCCACGTTAAGTAAATGGACAACTTATATTTTTGTGCAATTCTGTGATCATCCTCTGGATAAATCCTAAAACAATGAAATTGTGGTATGAACGTGTATGCTATTGTCTCTTAATGCAAATAATCTCGTGACTAGGCAATAGCCTTTCAATATGTAAATCAATCTTCAAATAAAAATGAAAATACTTTTATCAGGATAAATTATGACACCACCAAAAAATACCCTGGCGAATATTTTGAGGATATTTTGAGGATATACTTTTTTACTGTCCCTTTTTGTTTTGCATGTCTTTCTTTGTCTGAAGAAAGCTTTAAAAATCATAGAATTGGGCATCAGAAAACCTGAGTTCATACCTCTAACCTACCTCTCCACATCTCTCTATTCGTAGCCTTCTCTGCGTGCCTGAGCCAGCACTGTCTCTCAATTTAATTTATTTGCATCCTTTGGAAAGCCTCGCAATTCCTTGCCTCAAAGATTTCTTATGAGGTTCAAATAAAATAACTTTAATTGTCAAGGCCAGTTCTGATTGGTTGTTTATATCACTTCTGTTTCTGACTCTCATGAACTTTCCTTCACATGTATATAGGCAAGACTTAAATGGTGGTACTTCAGAGGACCAAGGTAAGATTTGAAGACTGGGGCTATATACAAACCAAGGCAGTATCTGAGGGTGGAGACTTCAGTGAGATCAACGCAGGGTCTTGAGGGTTGGGAGGGTCTTGAGAGTCCAAGGCATGATCATAGAATTGCGACTTCAAAGATACCAAGGTAGGATCTGAGGCTTGGAACTTCAGAGAGTCCAATGCAGGATCTGAGGGTGGGTACTTCAGAGATACAAAGGCAGGACTCAAGGGTTGGGAATTTGTAGAAACCAAGGCAGAATTCAAGGGTAGGCAGTTCAGAGAGACCTAGGCAATATATATATTTAAGTTTCTTTTTCTCTTGAGTGGATTTTTCCCTCCAGATCTGTCAGTAGTACTCAGGGGCAGTAATTAATAGCAGTAATTAACAGTTGATGCTACCCCTGATACTTTCTTACAGAGGTAATGTGGAAAATATTGTTCTTTTACCTACTTTTTGTCTTGCCTTCCTCTATCCCTTTCTGTCTTTCTCCCTTTTTTTTCTTTCCTTTCTTCTTTTTATTCTTGATATATTTGTGTAAAAAATTATTTTACACCAACCCAGTGCCTACCACTTTTCCAGGTAGTAGGACTACAACAATAAGCAACATCAATCAAAATCTCTACTCTACCCCATGGAGCTTTATTCCAATAGAGATAGACAATCAAACAAAATAAATAAATTGAATATATAGGATGTTAGACTGTGATATATGCTATATTGTAAAGTAAGAAGACTAGATATTTCTGAGGGTGGGCTCGCACATTTAAATAGAGCAGCCAGAGAAGGTCTCAAATGAAAGGATAACATTTGGTCAAAGACCTGAGGGAAGTGAGGATGAGATCAGATAGGATTCCTGGAGGAAAAGTATGTCAAGCATAGGTAAGAACAGGTGCAAAGACCTCTGGCAAGACACATATGCAGGATAATCTTACTCTAACATTATATTAATTTTACCTTTTACAAGTAAAATTTGTATAAATTTTTTCTTGATACTGGAATATTCTTCAAACAATTTTTCACTGCTTAAACTTCTAAAGTTCATAGAACTGATCTAGAAGAAAAATATTGAACATATCATACATCTAAATACAACATATGCAAGGTAATTAAATTTGTATTTGTCTCTAAAAATATAATTATAATTTTATAACAAAATTCTGTTTTTTATTCAATATGATGCAATTTTAGTTATAATTTTCTTTTTCTGTTTTTTCAAATTTCACACGCCTCAAAAATACATTTTTCCTTTCAATTCACATAATCACGTGAATATTTTTCAACACACTTAGCATGTATTTTATAATTACCACTGCTCATATAGGTATTGGTTACTAACTATTGCTGGCTAATAGTTAAATGGGTTAACAGTCTAGATGCCTTAAATAAAGGAATCACAAAAGTAAGATGATGAAGGGTCTTGAAAAACGCATGGAAGCTGGGCTTGGTGGCTCAGCCTGTTATCCCAGCGCTTTGGGAGGCAGAAGCTAGTGGATAGCCTGAGCCGACGGGTTCGAGACCCGCCTGGGCAACTTGGCGAGACCTCATCTCTACAATAAATCAAAAAATCAGCCAGACATGGTAGCGCGCGCCTGTAGTTCCAGCTACTTGGAAGGTGGAGGCGGAAGGATCACCGGAGCCCAGCAGGTCGAGGCTGCGGTGGCCGGGAGTGAGACGCCAACTAAAAAAAACCAAAACAAGAACAAAAACAAAAACAAACAAACAAACAAACAAACAAAAAAAAACGCACGAAGTATTGGAGTCGGGTTCTACTTGCTGACTGTGTAATCGCAGACAACTAACTGCAACTTCTTGGAACCACAGTAGATCACTGTGAATCTTCTTTAAAATGGAGTTAATAATCTCACTGTACTCTTCAGGAGAGTCATATGGCATCACATGTGTGGATATACCATGCCAATTACAAATAATTATATTAAATAGTATTTACATCAAACTTCTCAAGAACTCTGCAATGATAAAGTCCTAATTACATTACCTTGGGGTCTTGCAAATAGAAAGTAGCCAATATAGCCAGAAAAAAAAAAAAAAAAAAAAAAAAAAAAAAAAGCCGGGCTCGGTGGCTCAGTCTGTAATCCCGGGCCTTTGGGAGGCTGAGGTGAGTGGATTGCCTGAGCCCGTGGGTTCGAGACCCACCTGGGCAACTTGGTGAGACCTCATCTCTACAGTAAATCAAAAATTAGCCGGGCATGATACCGCGTGCCTGTAGTTCCAGCTACTTGGAAGGCTGAGGCGGAAGGATCGCCGGAGCCCAGCAGGTTGAAGCTGCGGTGGCCGGAGCGGCCATTGCACTCCAGTCTGGGCGACAGAGTGAGACTCCAACTCAAAAAAAAAAAAAAGGTTTCTGCTACGTACTAAACCTTCCATCTCAAAGGAAACCGTGACAAATTAGATGATGTGTGGAAAAGTTTTCGTAAAACAGAGAGTTCTCAGTTTCTCATCTTTACAGGATGATAATCTAGCTTCACAAATCCCACCACTTAAGAAATTATGTATTTTATTTAGTTAAATCCTTTATGCATCTCATGTTACTGACCATATTTGAACAATAAACAACTACCTTGAATATTTTATTTCACATTGAGGTAAACTGTGAAACATTGGTAAAACCTATTTGTCTTTGGTTGGCAATTACATTCTTAAAGTATTAGCAACCGCTGGAAACTGGAAACTGATACTGAAAGATGGAAAATACGTGGTATTTCATACTATTATGTTTAAACACAAGGGAGTTAATAATGTGTCAAATTTCTGTGGGTTTCTGTTACGATAATTGTTCTTCAGTTCTGTGTGGAAAAAAAAAAACAACTTGAGAAATGACATATTGAATTGCAGTAAACAAAAAGCCCAAATGTTTTGAAGGACATAGAAGTAAGTAGCAAGGACATATTTAACTGCATTGGTTAAAAATCGGTTTATTCTATCAGTGAAGAAATCTTAAATTTAAGAGATAGAGTTGGATAAAAATAATTAACATTAAAATACTTCTAGTAGGTAATGGAACAAGGACATCAGAAAACGTGAAAATCATTGCGACTCATATTTAGAAGTGAATTTGTTAATAAACTTTGCCCAGGCCAAGTGTTCTGCATAGCACCTTTAAATTACACTGAACCTGATCTCTCAGTTTCCAAGAGATGCTTCTGTATAGCATGTAGATAATTATAACGAGGACTGGGCACAGACTAGCTTTTGCTGCAGCTTAAGAAAAGCTAAGGCCTTTAACACTGCAGTAACAATAGACAGGTAAGGCCACTGGAAACTGGGTGCTTAAAATGGATGTTTTCATTTTGCCTGTGTTTTGGGGGTTCCTATTCTGCCTCAATCCATCCCAGTACATGGCAGATCAGGAGAGAGAAAGTCCAGTACTAGTCTCTATTAACACCTGGCCAGTGTAGCCTACTCTTAATTGCTGGTACCTCTCTCCCTCCTGATATGTTTTAGATGGATTCCTAGTACTAGTGTTACCTTTTCCCAACCCATGAAAAAAACAAGCCTCTTAATATTTCCCCTCTATTCAACTTGTCTGGAACTAAATTAGATTAATCATAACTTTTTTTTTGTTTGCTTTTGATCTATGCTTCCTTTTCTGGGCCCAGTGTTTTGTTTATTGGTTTTCTCTGTTCCCCATCTCTACTCTAAATCTCATTTCCAACTTCCCACTGCTTTTCTGGAAAACTTGGAGTTTTCTGTTACTCTTTCCTCGCAAAAGGCATCTAGTTCCTTCTTACATATAGGTTTCCTATGGTCAGTAATATGAGTTTTTAAAAGTTTTGTGTAATCTTTTTGTAAAACATAAACCATAAATTTTATGACTCACTAAAGTTTCACAAAGTAAACCCACCTTTGCAACCAGCACCCAAATTAAAAACAAAACAAAATGAAACACATAACCCATAACTCCTTTACCTCCTCACATCAGTCCCTGCAACCCCCATCTAAGGATAACTTTCTTAGCTTCTAATACCATAATTTGATTTTGCCTGAATTTAAACTATGTGCATTTTCAACTTGAAATGAATCACACAATATATACTCTTTTGTATTCTGCTTTTTCTGCTTAATGTCATGTTTTTGACATTTGTTCAAGTTGTTGCATGTAGGTACAGTTTGCTAATTCTCAGAGCTATATAGAGTTTATTGAATTAATCTATTACATTTTATTTAACTGTCCTACTGTTGACAGGCATTTAGGCTGTCTTGGTTTTGGCTCTGTGTAAGTATTGCTTTGAACATTCTTGTACCTATGTTTTTGGTGAACATATGTATG